TCTGTCACCCAGGTTGGACTGCAGTGGTGTGACCTCGGCTCACTGCAACCTTCGCCTCCTGGGTTCAAGTGATTCTTCAGCCTCAGCCTCCTGAGTAGCTGGGATTACAGGCACCTGCTATCATGCCTGGCTCCTCCTCTTTTTTTTTTTTTTCTTCTTTTAGTATTTTCAGTAGATAGGGGGCTTCGCTGTGTTGGCCAGGCTGGTCTCGAACTACTGGCCTCAGGTGATCCGACCACCTCAGCCCTCCCAAAGTGCTGGGATTACAGGCCTGACCCACTGCACCTGGCCTCTCTCCCTGTATCTTCAAAGCCAAGAAGGAACTTCTGTCCCCTTGGTTAGGGTCAGGGTCCCAGAGATCCAGGGTCAAGGCTACAGCCGCCTCCCAAGGACGTGCATCCCTGCAAGAGGCTGCATCCAGCAGTCATGGAAGAGGCTCCGCTGGGGCCTGCTCCAATTCCTGCTGGGGAAAGCAAGTGGAGGTGCCCCTTGAAGAAACAGTAAGGCCACCAATCTCGGGGGTTCTGTCCTGACCTGCGGCCCTGGATCATCCAGCCTCTGCTGGGATGGCAGCAGACGACGCCCTTCTTGGCTGGAGCTGAGGGTGGGGGTCCCGCTTCCCCAAAGGCCTAGCCCTGGATTCCAGCCACAGGTTCTACTGAGCAGCGCCTGGCGCTGCCCCGCCCCTCCAGGCCTGGCACTCGCCCTCAACAAACATGGCGCCTATGGCCTCACGCGCGCCATGCCGCACGCGCCTCAGGCGACAAGCTCGCAGGGCTTCCCCTGCGCCGCTCTCATCCCCTCAGACTGGCTGACAAGAGGAGGAGCGGGAAATATGACCTGGCTGGTGGCGGTGTCCTGGGCGGCTCTCCGGCGGCTGTTGTGTGGCTGCCCGCAGGCGCTGCTGGGCGGGATGCTGTACACCCGGCAGAGCGCATCGCGGGAGCGCAAGGAGCTGGACGGCCTCTGAAGCTTCCTAGCCGACTTCTCCAACAACCGACTCCCGGGCTTCTAGGAGAGGCGCCTGGAAGCCCGGCGTTGGGAATGGCCTAAGCCCCGGCGCCCTGCGGCCTCCTTCACCTGAATGCCCGGAAGCTGGGGGCCCGGAGGAGGTTAAAGGTCAATGGGCTTGGGGGCGCGGGGTTGGAGGACTGGGGTACTGGGGTGACTAGGGGGACCCAGGAGGGCCAGGGCGGAGGAGGCGGGAGGAGGAGGAAGCGCTCCTGTCCAGCCGCCTCCGGAGGCGAAGGCTGAGCCCGGGCAGTCTCCTAATATTTATTTTTAATTTTTGAAATGTTTCTGAGACTGGGTTTGGTCCTGCCGCCCAGGTTGGAGCGGAGTGGCGCAATCCTAACTTCTGAGCTCAAGCGATTCTCCCGCCCCAGCCTTGCAACTTAGCTGGGGCCGCCATGCCTAATTAAAAACAACAACAACAACAACAACAACAAAAACAAAGAAAAGAAACTTGGTCGGGCTTGGTGGCTCACACCTGTAATCCCAGCACCTGGGGAGGCTGAGGCGGGCGGATTACCGGAGGCCAGGAGTTTAAGACCACCCCGGCCAACGTGGTGAAACCCCGTCCCTACTAAAAACACAAAAATTAGCCGGGCGTGGCGATGAGCACCTGTAATCCCAGCTACTTGGGAGGCAGAGGCAGGAGAATTGTTTGAACCAGGGAGTCGGAGGTTGCAGTGAGCTGAGATCAAGCCACTGCACTCCAGCCTGTGCGACAGACTGAAACTCTGTCTCAAAACAAAAACCAACTTTTTCGTTTTGTTTTGTTTTTTAAGATACAGGGTCTCACTATGTTATCCAGGCTGATCTCGAACTACTGGCCTCAAGCCATCTTCCCACGTTGGCTTCCCAAAGCACTGATTATAGGCATGAGCCACCAGACACTGGTCAGGCCGGAGCGGCAGGCGCTGCAGGCGCTGCACAGAGCTGGGCCCAGAGATCGCCAGCAGGGGACAGTTTAGACATTCTGATGCCGGCTCTGCTGAGGGGGGAAGGTACGTTGGTTTTCAGGGTTCAGATAGAGGACAGACTGTGACATCAGGCCAAAGACGCCACCCCTGTTGCCCTCCTGACTTGGATGTGGTCAGCAAAGAAGTGGGATCCGGTGAGGTCTGGGCCGTGTTTGCCTGATCTACATTCTCTTTTTCTTTTTCTTTTTTTTTGAGACAGAGTCTCGCTGTGTCACCCAGGCTGGAGTGCGATGGCATGATCTTGGCTCACTGCAGCCTCCGCTTTCTGGGTTCAAGTGATTCTCCTGCCTCAGCCTCCTGAGTAGCTGGGACTACAGGCGCCGCCACCACCCCCAGCTAATTTTTGTATTTTTAGTAGAGATGGGGTTTCACCATATTGGCCAGGCTGGTCTCGAACTCCTGACCCCAGTGGCCCAGGTGCACAAACTGCCCTGGCAGTTGACCTGTCATCAGCAAGTTATCTGTCTTTTCTGCCAGGAGTCCTCACCATGTGTCAGGGCTTGTGCTAGGCCTGGGGGCACAGCTGTGCAGCACTGTTTTCCCGGATCCCTTTGTGGGCCTAGGAGCTGAGCCCGGCCCTTCTCTTCGCAGTTGGGCCCCACCTTGGACATACCAGTTTCCATTTTCAATGACATCAGCCAGGACTGGCGGCTGCAGCATTTTGTCGGCTGGATGTGGTATGAACGGGAGGTGACCCTGCTGAAGCGATGGATCCAGGACCTGCACATAAGAGTGGTGCTGAGGATTGGCAGTGCCCACTTCTATGCCATTGTGGTCAGTGTGGCGAGGAGCAGGCAGGGCAGGTGTGTGGGCACAGCTGCTGAACAGCATGGGACCCTCAGATTCCACCCACAGCCTGTCTCCTGGGGTGGGACAGTGGGGGGCCTTACCCTGCCCTGGGGGCTGTGCCCTGTGTAGGTGGATAGGTGGCCTGATCTACCCCACTGTAGACGGGGTGTCCTTTTTCCCGTCTGGCTGGCAGGCCCTTGAGCCCCATGCTGCGGGTTATGTGAGGGCGTGCCCAATAGCAGAGCCCCTCCTCATGCCCCGACCTGCCACCCCCTTCTCATATCTCCCTATGTCTGCAGTGGGTGATTGGCTAGAGCATGAAAGGGGCTACCTCCCCTTCGAGGCTGACAGCAGCAGTCTATTCCAGGTGGGGCCCCTGCCCTCCCCCCTCTGCGTCATCAACTGTCACCATCAACAACACGCTCGCCCCCCACCCTGCCACCAGGGACCATCCGTACATGACCGACAACTCCAAGTGAGTACCATCCTGCCTCCACTGTGCGCACCCACCTTCCCGCCCCACCCTGTGGTCTTCCTGCCAGGGACAGGGTGGCCTTCGCAGAGAGGAGGCCCTGATCTGGGGAGGCAAGTGACCTGAGGGCAAAAGACCCATGGCAAGGGCCCAGCGAACCACAGTCCTCCCGCCCTAGGTATCCCAAGGGTTACTTTGTCCAGAACACAGACTTTGACTTCTTCAACTATGCGGGACTACAGCGGTCTGTGCTTCTGTACACGACACCAACTACCTACATCGATGACATCACCATCACCACTGGTGTGGAGTGAGACAGAGGTGAGAGCTTCTGGTAGGATCCTCCCTCAGCGGGGCTCAGGGTGGCTCTGTTTGTTCCCTATTTGGAAAGCTCTCCCAGGAAAAAGGTTCTTCCAGCATCTCTAAACCTTCACAGGTTCCCATCCACCTATGAAGCTAAAATCCAGGCTGTCTGAGCGGGCACGGGCTCCCGAGATCACTCATGTGGTTGATCTTGCTTGGAGAAGAGAGGTCTGGCCTAACGTCACATAGCTCAGGGTGGCAGCCCTGTCCCTTCCCCACGGTGCTGCTCTCACTCTAGCTCCCATTGCTACACATCGTGCTCAAGGAACAGGCAGCTTCAGGGGGCCGGGTGCGGTGGCTCACGCCTGTCATCCCAGCTCTTTGTAAAGGAGGACTTGGTAGGAGGATCACTTCAGGCCAAGAGTTCAAGACCAGGCTGGGCAACATAGCAAGACCATCAGCACAAAAAATTTAAAAATTTGCCAGGCAGGGTGATGCGTGCCGGTAGTCCCAGCTGCTGAGGCAGGAGAATCAGTTGAGCCTGGGAGGTCAAGGGTGCAGTGAGCTGTGACCGCGTCACTGCAGTCTGGTCTGGGCAACAGAGGGAGACCCTGTCTTTTTTGTTTGTATTTGTTTTTGAGCTGGAGTCTCACTCTGTAGGAGCCCAGACTGGAGGGCACTGGCGCACTCTTGGGCTCACTGCAACCTCCACCTCCCAAGTTCAAGTGATTCTCCTCCCTCAGCCTCCCTAGTAGCAGGGATTACAGGTACCTTCCACCATGTCCAGCCAATTTTTGTGGTTTTTGTTTAGTAGAGACGGGGTTTCACCATGTAGGCCTGGGTTGGTCTTGAACTCCTGACCTCAGATGACTCACCTGCCTCGGCCTCCCAAAGTGCAAGGATTACAGGTGTGAGCTACCGTGCATGACTGGGATACCTTGTTTTTAAGAAAAAAAAATATATTTATTTATTTATTTATTTTTAATATATCTTTTTCCTTTTGTGAGATGAGGCCTTACACTGTCAACCAGGCTGGATGGCAGTGGTACAATGATTGACAGCTGTTGTGGGGCCGCAGTTGTCAGTTTCAAAGAATTTAGGCTGGGTGTGGTGGCTAATGCCTGTCATCCCAGCACTTTGGGAGGCCACGGTGGGTGGATCGCTTGAGCTCAAAGGTTAGAGACCAGCCTGGGCAACATAGTCAGACCCTGTTTCAAAAAGAATAAATAATTAAAATAAATAAAGAATTTAAATAAGAATCACACAGCAAAGGTGATGCAGCATAGAGCAATTTGTTGTAAAGGGAAAAATATTTTGCAAGTGAAGTGCAGAATAGCCCGGGCACAGTGGCTCATACCTGTAATCCCAGCACTTTGGGAGGCTGAGGTGGGTGGATGACCTCAGGCCAGGAGTTCTAGACCAGCCTGGCCAATGTGGTGAAACCCCATCTCAAACTGTCTCCAAAAAAAAAAAAAAAAGTACGCACCTGTAATCCCAGCTACTAGGGAAGCTGAGGCAGGAGAATTGTTTGAACCCAGGAGGCAGAGGTTGCAGTGAGCCAAGATTGCCCCACTGCACTCCAGCCTGGGGAGCAGAGGGAGGCTCCCTCTCAAAAAAAAAATAATAATAATTAGCTGGGCGTGGTGGCAGGTGCCTGTAATCCCAGCAACTCGGGAGACTGAGGCAGGAGAATAGCTTGAACTTGGTGGTCGGAGGTTGCAGTGAGCTGAGATGGAGTCACTGCACTCCAGCAATCCTGAGGAGACTTAAGAACTAAACATAGTATGGTCCCCTGGATGAGATCTTGGAACAGGAAAAGGACATTATGGGAAATAGTAAAGAAATCTGAATCAAGATGAACCTTAGTTAATAATAATGTATCAGTATTGGTTTACTGGGGCCGGGGATGGTGGCTCACATCCTAGCACTTTGGGAGGCTAAGGTGGGAAGATCTTGAGGTCAGGAGTATGAGACTAGCCTGGGCAACATAGCGAGACTACATCTCTCTAAATTTTTTTTTTCTTTTAGTTAGTCAGCATGGTGGTATGCACTTACAGTCCCAGCTGCTAGGGAGGCTGAGGAGGGAGAATTGCTTGAGCCCAAGAGTTTGAAGCTGCAGTGAGGTGTGACTGTGCCACTGTGCTCCAGCCTGGTCAACAGGGCAAGACCCGTTATCTCCAAAACTTTTTTCATTACAAAAAAATTTTTTTTTGAGATGGGATTTCGCTCTTCTTGCCCAGGCTGGAGTGCAATGGCGAGATCTCGGCTCACTGCAACCTCTGCCTCCCAGGTTCAAGCAATTCTTCCACCTCAGCCTCCCAAGTAGCTGGGATTACAGGCATGCGCCACCACGTGTGGCTGATTTTTGTATTTTTAGTAGAGACGGGGTTTCACCATGTTGGCCAGACTGGTCTTGAACTCCTGACTTCAAGCAGTTCACCTGCCTTAGCCTCCCAAAGTGCTGGGACTACGGTTGTGAGCCACTGCAGCCGGACTATTTTTTAAATGCTTTTTAGAACCAAAGTCTTGTTATGCTGCTCAGCCTAGATTCTAACTCCTGTGCTCAAGCAATTCTCCTGCCTCAACCTCCTGAGCAGCTGAGACTACAGCTTGTGGCACCACAAGCCAGAAAGTTTGTTTCTTTTTTTAGAAAAGAGAGGGCTTAGGACTTCTGGAGCACAGACTTCAAATAGCAGCCGAGTCCACAATTGTGCTCCCTTCCCTCTGGATCTTCCTTCCTGAGTGCCTGTGAAAAGCAAGCTTTGGCCCTGCCTGGGTGGTGATTGTCGTTCCTGACGGCCAGTCCTGCAAGCTCTGGACTTGCTTAGCCAACCCCACAAATGCAGAAGCCAAGCTTTTACGAATATATCTATCTATCTAGATGTATGTCTGTATATAGCTTTTTTGTTTGTTTGTTTGTTTGTTAGAGATGGAGTCTAGCTTTGTCACCCAGGCTGGAGTGCAGTGGCGTGATCTCGGCTCACTGCAACTGCTGCCTCCCGGGTTCAAGCAATTCTCCTGCCTCAGCCTCCCGATTTGCTGGAACTACAGGTATGCACCACCATGCCTGGTTAATTTTTGTATTTTTATTAGAGACAGAGTTTCATCATGTTGGCCAGGCTGGTCTCAAACTCCTGACCTCAGGTGATCTGCCTGCCTCGGCCTCTCAAAGTGCTGGGATTACAGGTGTGAGCCACTGTGCCTGGCTAGAAGCCATCCGTTTCTATATCTATGCAGATGTGTGTCACTATATGTTTATGAATATCTGAATGTGTGTATCTTTCCTACTGGTTCTGCTTCTCTGGTTTGAACCCTAACACAACTAGTTTTTTTTTTTGTTTTTTGTTTTTTTTTGAGCTGGCATCTTGCTCTGTCACCCAGGCTGGAGTGCAGCAGTTTGATCTCTGTTCATTGCAACCTCCACCTCCTGGGCACAATAGTATTTTATAATCTGTTAGGAATTCAAAAGATCAAACTACGTATTTAAATACATTTCAAATACAAACTTTGAAAATCATACTATGAAACATTAAGTAAGATTCTACATTATTAGGCCAGGGACGGTGGTTTCGGCCTCTAATCCAGCACTTTGGGAAGCCAAGGCGGGCAGATTGCTTGAGCTCAGGAATTTGACACCCCCCGGGCAACATAGCAAGACCCTGTCTCCACAAAAATAGAAAAATTAGCTGGACATGGTGGTGCATGGCTGTGGTCCCAGCTGTTTGGGAGGCTGAGGTGGGAGGATCACATGAGCCCAGGAATTTGAGGCTGCATGGAAGCATGATTGAGCCATTGCACTCCATCCTGGGTGACAGAGTGAGACCCTGTCCCACCCCCCAAAAAAAGTTAATATCATTATATAATTGTACTCTAAATTATTAGCAAAATGAAAGAAAATTAAGTATTATTTAAAAATAGGCAAGGTACAGTGGCTCATGCCTATAATCCCAGCACTCTGGGAGGGCAAAGCAGGTGGATCACTTGAGGTCAGGAATTCGATACCAGCCTGGCCAACATGGTGAAACCCCATTTCTACTAAAA